GGGAGCGGCAGCGGCAGAGGCGGAGGCTCCAGCGCGTCTCTCTCCTCCCCCTGAGCCTGAGCCAGGGGAGGCCAGGCGGCCCGGTGGCTGGAGGGGGTCCGCTGCTCGAGAATGGGAATTCTCTTTACCAGGATATGGAGACTGTTCAATCACCAGGGTGAGGGGCTTGGGCCGCAGCGTACGGGTAGGGGAGAGGGCCAGTTCTGGCAGGGTGGTGGGGGGTCTTGGAGAGTTCCGGAGTGTGGGCGGCGTGGTCCTGCGCGGTGCGGGCGCTGCGGGAGGGCCACCTGGGTGAGGGCCTGAGACGGTTCGCCTGCCTCCCGGGCTTGGGGAGGGTGCCCTTTGTCCTGGGGCACCGTGAGGGGCTTGGGCCGCAGCGTACGGGTAGGGGAGAGGGCCAGTTCTGGCAGGGTGGTGGGGGGTCTTGGAGAGTTCCGGAGTGTGGGCGGCGTGGTCCTGCGCGGTGCGGGCGCTGCGGGAGGGCCACCTGGGTGAGGGCCTGAGACGGTTCGCCTGCCTCCCGGGCTTGGGGAGGGTGCCCTTTGTCCTGGGGCACCTTCCTGAGAAATGCATTCTGCAGTACACCCATTGCTCCGATTACGGATCGGGAATAGAAAAGCTTTCTCGTCCCGTGTCCGACGGCCCTGAAGGCACGGCCTGGCCTGTCTCTCAGCCTTCTAGGACCAGCAGTTAGGTTTGGAGCAGTGCTGGGGTCTTCTGGCAGTGGAGGTTGTAGATTAGGGCCCTCGCCGCCCCACTGAGCGACCGGGAGCGGCAGAATGCGGAAAACGTGAGGAAGCGCTCCGGGCTTGACCCGCACACCTCCGGTTTAGAAGCGTCCCCGCCGCCCCAGCCCCTCTTGGCGCGGATCCGGGTGAGAAATGGGGGGCCGTTCTACTTCCTGAGCAGGGCTGGACTTCTCTTCATTTTCCTTATTTGCACCCGTGTTTAAGGTTAGGTTTAAGGAGGTCATTTTGCTACTTGTGAGGGTTGTTTAATTAGAATTGTGATTTGGATTTTTTTAGGGAGGAGTGTCTGCATTAGAATCCTAAGTGTTTTAACGATTGCTCTTTAATCGTGCCACTTCGAACCTTTGTTAGCCGCAGGTGATTAGTAAATTACTAAGCATGGTGTTCATTATCTTATAGGGGTGCTGAGGTTCATTTAAACGGAGACATCGCCTTGAAATGTGTATCAGGTTTATTAAAATTTGGTACAAAATGAGTGTGTAATACTGAATAAAGAGGGTACAGGTTTAATAGAAAGATCCCATAGTTACTAAGATAGCATGATTTAAAAAAAAAAAAAGGATCAGACGACTCATCATTCCTGCCGTCAAAAACTTTGCATTTTTTCTCTTGTGTGAGCTAGTTGGTGGTGTCTGGAGTTCCAGTAGAGACTCAAGGCTGGTGCTGTTCAGTGTGTGCCCCACTATCTCCACCTCCACCTTTATGAGTGAGCCACTCTTAAAACTAGGAAATGGGAAAGGAGCAGAACTGGAACTTACGATCCCTGGTGTAGCTTTTAAAAAAATAATGTTGCTAGTATAAACCACATGGCACTAAGTGGAAGAGCACTCTTTTAAGTTATTTTCTGGTGTGAGGATTTTTTACGAAGTGGAGAAAACGAGTTCTAAACATCCCTGGCATTCACTGACTGGCCGCACAAGAAGTGGAAAGCAGTCACACAACCTCTGCGTCTAGGTATTGTCACCAAGAACACCAGCTGTCTGTGGAGCCTACACATTTTGAAATCATAACCTCTAGGTTTCGAGTATTGAAACTTACATTGCTTGGGACCAGCAGTTGGTGTAATGGCTATGTTGCTGGACTCACATGTAGTCGGCCGTGGTTGGAGTCCTGGACCCGGTGGCTTAAACTCACGCCAGGCACGTGTGCGTGCGTGCCCAAGATCCCGAGAGGAGAAGGGGTTGCGGCCTGACCATCCCCCCTGGGGCGTGATTTCTCGCTTTCTGTCTCTCTGTCTCTCTCTGTCTATCTGGTGAGTGCAGGCATCCTATAGCAAAAACCTCTCAAAAAACAAAACAAAACAGAACAAAAACCAAAAGCTTACATTGCTGTAGGACCACTGCTGCTTATAGTAAAGATCTATTCTAGTTTTGACATCTGTAATTTTGTATTTCTCACAAAGCTAATGTTTCAACTCTGCCATGAGGAGTAGACAGACTATTAAGCGGGCTTTAGTACTGCCTGCAAAATAGATATCTCCACATTCTGTCTTGAGCCAATGATAAAATTATTTGTTTCTGTAACTTAAGAATGAGTTAGAGCTTTGCTAATGACTACTTGCCAGTAATGAATATTATAAGGATGTGTGCATTGGTAGCACTGCAAATTGCTAATGGACGTGCTCTTATAACCTGTAGTTTGTGGTCATTTTTGACAGGACATTTACTTCAGTTTTGGGAAATTGATAGAGTAATCACTGAAGCCAAGTTTTTAGAAAGTTAGATGTCAGTATTATGAAAACTGAGGAAACTATTTCTCTTTGGCTGAATGATGTGGATGTCTTAAGTAGGGTCACTTTTCAAAATATTCGCCCCTTAAATCTAAATACCAAATCCTTGTTGGGTTTTTGTTTCTGTGAAATTGGACGTATATAAGTTAGATATATTTTGAGTACATAATTGACTTTTAGAAGATCCAGAACACAATCCTGTATTCTTTTCACAGAAACTTGGAAAGTGGTTTTTGAGAATGAATGAATTTGCCACGCTGGCACTTAAACTGTGCCATATCTTTTCTCTGAAACCACTTAAAAAAGATTTTCAGTTAAAGTTTAGGTAGAGTGAAAGCTAATTTCATACTGTTCAAACTAGGAAAACCAGAGGTTAGCATTTAAGTGAAACTTAGATATACAGGATACAAATTCTATCCCAGGTCCTGTCATTTATGTTGCTTCTTTTTTCCTTAATGTTTCAAGTGTCCTTTGAAATAGTTATTTATTTCCCTTGAAAAGAGGAACCTGAGGCTCAAGTGGAAAGCTTTTCTCCAGGCCATGCAACTGGCGTGCGTACATGTGCCAGAGTCAGGCAAGTCAAAACACTGGAGGAATGTGTTGCGATTATTGGTTGTCTTAAAGAGAGATTAACATCATTTTTCTTTTGATTTTTTTTTCTCCTCAAAATGTTTGTTTCTCACTTGCTTCACTCTAAGTTTTTATAACCTTAGGACTTTGAAGAGTTGCCTTTAGTGAATTTTGATATATTGGGTTGTCAGAAAAGTCATGGCGTATTTTTGCATAGAAAAACACAAAATACAGAAAACAGCAGGTGGTGTAGTGGTTAAGGCACTGGACTCCCATATGGCTAACCACAGTTCAAATCCTGGACCTGGTGGCTTGCTTTCTCAGCTTCTTTTTCTTTCTTTTTCTCTTGGATTGAATTTAAAAAATATAATAATAATAATAAATAAAATTAAATAATTCTTTAAAAAAAATCTTTAAAAAGGAAAACACAAAATACGTCTTGGCTTTCCCGATGACCCAATAGAAGGGCTTCTGACTTTTCTTTTTTTTGGAGAGGTTTTTTTTGCTATAGGGCTCGTGGGCTCGCCAGACAGAGTCAGACAGCG